CGTGGATGCGCTGCCAGAGGTGGACGATCTCCCAGACGGCGTCGTCGTGAAGCAAGAACAAGATGGCGGTGAGGATGATGTGCTGGAGCCGGCGCCGGGCAAGAAGAAGAGGGCGGCCGTGACTGCGGTGCGCCGCTCGCACCGCCTGAAGATGCTGAAGAAGGAGGAGTGAACTGCTGCACTAATATTCAGTTTCGTCAGTCCTGAACTTTCTTAAGTGCAGTAAGTTCCTAGGTTCAGTTTCGTCAGGCACTATCTACTAGTAGTTCATCTTTATGTCAGGCACTATCTAATAGTAGTTGCTATCTATGTCAGGCACTATCTAATAGTAGTTGCTATCTATGTCAGACTATCTATGTTAAGTTATTTGTCAGACTATCTAAGCTAATTGCTATATATGTTAGTTGCTACTTCCAACTATGTTAGTACTGTCAGTTATCACACATGATATAAGCAGAGTAAAACAACCTCATCATAGATAAAACATTCTTACTTACTCAACTTAGCATGAGTACTTAGCATAGTAGGTCTTAACATAATAGTCATTACATCATAGATAAAACCAAGTAGTTCTTAAACCATAGCAATACCTCCCTCCCTCATACCATTCTGAAAGCACATGAAACTTTCCCAAAATATACACCTAACATGCATGACATTCCAAGGCCAGCTATATATATAGGCCTACTAATTACTTAACCCACAAACCAACCACTTCACTCATTCATAATTGCCTTGATCCTCTCCAGCTTAGCTTTGCTGTCATGCCCAGCATTGAGCAGATCAGCAATAAGATACTCTAACTTCTTCTTCTCTTGCTTAAGTAGGTCCCTGTCCCCCTCCACTTCCTTCATGGCCTTCCTCATGTTCTGAATGATCTCTGCTTGGCTTTGAAGAATGCACCTTTGCTCCTTGGCAAGCTTCAGCTTTTCCATACTTAACTCAATCTTTGCCTGATCCTCAAGTTGTTTTCTTCTTCTCAGCTAGTTCATTGATTGCCTGACTGGTATAGTCCATGTCATGAGACATCTTGCCATCTTGATAGTCAAATAGGTTGGATACATCTTCCACCAACTGGCTGTAGTTGTTTGACAGGAAATCAATTTCCTTCTGTAGCTTGGCCACCTCTTTCTCATGGGCTTGTTTGTCATTCACCCTGCCCAAGTTCTGCTCATGATACATGTCCCAAATCCTGGTTAGGCACCTTTGTAGAATCTCTGGCCAAGGACCATCCACCCACTCCACAACCCCACAGTTCACACCTTCATCCTACAGAAGCAATTATTTATAATTAAGCACAAAGCACTTAGTAACAAACTTAGTACAGAAACCAAAAGTCATAAAGTCATTTCATTTAGCTGAAACCCTTTGTTTACATCAATATGCACCTGACTTAGCATCAGAGATAAATTCAGTTAACAGCTACATTTAGCAACAGAGATAAATTCAGTTAACAACTACATTTAGCAGTAGATATAAATTCATTTAACTCTGTTCTTTTTCAGTTAACACCTACTCTGTTCTTTTTCAGTTAACACCTACTCTGTTCTTTTTCAGTTAACACCTACTCTGTTCTTTTTCAGTTAACAACTATATTCTCAGGTTCATAATACACTAAAGATATCTGCTTGTAGGTGTTATCAGGTTCAGTCATGTATTGAATTCAGTTAACTAAAGATCTACTTTCATATATAGCTTCCACATGCTGCAGCACACATCTCTGCACCACATGCTGCACCACACATCTCACATCTCCAGCAGCAAAACACATCACACATCTCCAGCAGCAAAACAAGTTAGCGTTCAAGATTTAATACCTGCTGCACAGGACAACCCAGGAAACGCCTGCCAGTCAAAGCACCTTCAAAAGCCACCATCTTCTTCGGCCTCTGATGATGCATCATGCACGTCGGCTCAGATTCAGTGTAAGAACCACAGAAAGATGGTTCCACCACAGTGTCAGGGGTTTCCTGCAAAAGAAACTTGGAATCAAACCAAAAGCAAATTGGAATCTCCAATTTGGATGAACTAACCCTAACCCTAACTCTGTTCCACCATTATGCACTTACAAATAGCTGCTGATCCAATGAAACCATGTTGATGTCCTCGTCCGAGCTGTCCTCGTCATACCAGGATGGCATCCTCACCTTCGACCGGCAGCAATGGCCGCGGCGGCGACGGCGATAGGCTGACCTAGGTCAGAGGACCAGGGAGAGGGAGAGGGAGAGGATGGAGTGAGGACGAGTGAGAGCGAGCGAGGAGGAGGAGAATGAGCGGCTGAGCTCGCTCTCACTTATTGGCCCACCGACAGGCGCCGTTCCGACAGCGGACGGGCCGTTAACGGCCATCTACGCGCGGCGGGCGACCGTTAGCCAACGTGGCGCCTGATTCGCGGGCCCAACCGGTCAGATTCGGGGTTAGCGCGGGTGAAGCGAGCGATTTCACGAGTTGGTAGTTTTTTGCCACGGTTTAATCCAAATTTGGTAGTTTTTCGCACAAAAACGTAAAGTGGTAGTTTTTCGTCACGTTTCCGTCAATTGTGGTAGTTTTTGGTTAAATACTCGTTTTTCCCTTTCTCTCATCTCTCATTATTTTTTGCGGGTACTCTCATCTCTCATTTAGATCAAGAGTGTGGTTAGATCTTAGTCGACTGAAACTTAACCAAGTCTAAGTCAAGTGACATAACATATAAAAGAGAAAAAAGAAAAACTAAAAAGAAAATTTTGCATGGATCTCCACGTAAGATTCCATGAATATAGAGTCTCAGTCAACTGAGAATTAGCAATCCCGCTAGACCAATCAATATCATCTCCCAATCCTCATGGAAAGCACACGTATATATTATGTTCCGTCGTGCTCGTGGCTTCCATGTGCAGATTATAAGTAGATTAGAGAACGAGTGATTTGGAAACGCGCTTTGGTCGTGCGTTCCACCATCCACCGGATGCAACCGCTCCATTTTTTCTTGACATTTGTTGCAGTGTGTACTAAGGGCAGATGATCTATTTTTGACAAAACAATCGGTTCACCCCATCTTGCATGTGAAGGACTAAGGAGGAGACCAGTGCGATCTGGTTGCTTTGACAACAGCAAAGATATTGGTTGATTGATTGATTAGTAGAGCTGTAGCTGGCCGATAATCTTCTTATTGCTCAAGAGCCTTACCTGAGGGGTCACAATGGAGGACAAGTTGGGTACTGTCCTTTCAAATTTGAGAGGCAGCATTGCTCCCTGCCAGTGTGGCAGTTTATGTGTTGCAACTGGATATAAATGTTATGTTAGCCCGTGTTTTACTTGCCCATATCTAATGTGATTGTGTAAATAAACGTTTTCATTGAATCCCATCCATGATTACCAACCTATGTAAATTTAAGAATTTTATTTGGTAAGAATTTATTGGCTTAAGAAAATATAATTTTATTTGATAAGTCACAAAAAGCTGAGGCAATTAGGACGGTTTTCAAGGAAAATCGATGAGAAAAACTGGAGTTAGGAAGGGTTTAATCAAAACGAAGAAGGGAAATGCTCAACGTGAACCAACTGGAAAGACATCCCGCGTCCGCGCCTTCTAACACGTGTCCCTGTGGGCCCATGCACGTCTCCACCTTTCATGATTCTTGAAACAATGCCCAACCGCATCGTCTTCCCCACGACTCTCCTTCCCTTCTCGCATCTCTCATCCCCTGCAGTAGATCTGACAAGGCGCTGACAGTGGTCCGCCGCCGCCGCTCACACCGGGTAGCCGACCGTCCCGCAACACACACTGGTGTCGCACGCCTCTTCCCCATGCATCTGGACCGGGACGCCGACCATGCTAAAATTCCGCGCGGGCCGGTCGCCGCTCTAGCGGCACAGGACCTCTCCATCGGCATTGTTGGCACCCAGGGAGCCCTCCTTGCTGGTGCGGCGACCTATGTGCAGGCACCACCGACTGGTGGCAAGAAGGAAGGGCCCAACCCCGTGCTTGAACTTGTCCATGGCCATGGCGCCCGACATATGATTTTTTGCAACAAGGATCTTGTTGTGGTTTCTTTTTTCTTTTTTGCAATAGTAGTGGTGTTGCAAAAATGACTTCGGTGAAAGACAGTGATCAATGGCAGCAACTTATTAGACAAGCTTTTGCAACGTCACCTCTGTTGAAAAAAAAATCTGCAACAAGGCATATGTTGCAAAGAAAAGATGCAATAAGACCCGTGTTGCAATGATGGAGGCGCCGCTCGACCGCTCATCCATTAGATCTGACTCGGACGATCTTTTAAAAAGATTAGTCAGCTGGTGCATAGCACGCCCCAACTAAGAAAGGGAGAGGAGAACATACGTAATATTGGACGAAGCGTTTTGCCTAACAGAAAAGGGAACTTTGCCTTGCGAAATTGACAAAGGGAACGTTATTCAAAAAACAAGATCAATGCACACTTTGAAAACATTAGAGACGGTGAAAGAAAAACTGAACCGCGGGGCCCAACCGTTCGATCCAGAGTCCCTATCGCACGCCCTCGGCCCGCACGCTCCCACCTACCAAGAAAAACTTGCAGCTCCTTCCTCTTTCGCTCCCTCCATCGAATCATCATCCTCTGTGCGTGCGTCTGAGAGCAGAGAGCAGCCAGCGCGGGAGAGATGGCGACCATCGCCGTCCCGACGCCCCTGCCATCCCCGGCCGCCGACGCGGAGAGCCTCAGGAATGCCGTGCAAGGTAACGTGCATACGACCCGCCTGCAGGGTGGACGTCTCTTTAATGTCTGCGCGATCTGTGTCAAGCGCTCAAGTTTGCCGGTCGATTTCCGTCTCAAGGCTGGGGCACGGACGAGAAGGCCCTGGTGGAGATCCTCGGCCGGCGCACCGCCGCGCAGCGCGCCGAGATCCGCCGCGCCTACGCCAGCCTCTACAAGGAGTCCCTCCTCACCCGCCTCCACGGCGAGCTCTCCGGCCACTTCCAGGCACGTACTCTCGATGATCTGTGCTTGCTGCAGTACTTATGATGACGATGTGTTCTTGCGCTAATGAAGAAAGCGATGGTGCTGCTGGCGACGGAGCCGGCGGAGAGGGACGCGAAGCTGGCGAGGGAGGCCCTGGGCAGGCGGGGCGACGACAGGGACGCGTGGGTGCTCATCGAGGCCGCCTGCGCCGCCACGCCGGACCACCTCCTCAGGAAGGTGGGCGTCGCCGCCTGCCCTGCGTTCCAAGAACCGCTCAGGAAGGTGACTACTCCAGGAGAAGAACCGAGCAATCCATTCCAGAGTAGTATGTACTGTATAATGTTCTTGGTTGTTGCAGCTGCTGGTGAGCCTGGTGAGGTCGTACCGGTGCGCGGAGGGGAGCGTGGACATGGCCGTGGCGAAGCAGGAGGCCGCGCAGCTGGCGGAGGCCATCCGGAGGAAGAAGCAGCCGCACGGCGGCGAGGTCGTCCGGATCGTGAGCACCAGGAGCAAGCCGCAGCTCGCCGCCACGTTCCGGTGCTACAAGGAACAACATGGCAGCGACATCGAAGAGGTTTATTAATCCTTTTGGTTTATAGGAATGTCATAGGATTTCTATAGGATAGGATTTCCATAGAAAAATTTCCTTTTGAGGCCCTTTGGTTTGTAGGAATGAATTTCTATTCATATATAGGATAGAAATCAATCCTTCACATTTTGGAAGAAAAAAAACATGAGCTAAGACTCAATGGAAAAATTTCTATCCTATGCATCAAATGACATCTCTTTCTCTATAGGAATTGAGATGTATATCATCTCACTTCCTATGATTTTCCTATTCCTACAACATTTCTATCCTATGAACCAAATGACGCCTAAGCTCTTTTCATATCTACTAATAACTACTCTTCGATGTGAACTGATTGGAACAATTTGGTGAACTGAAGCACTTGTTCTTGTCGTTGTTGCTGCTGTTGTTGCAGGACATGAAGCAGTACAGCAGCAGCCAGTTTGCGAGGATGCTCAAGATTGCTGTCTGGTGCCTCACATCTCCTGAAAAGCACTTTGCAGAGGTACGTCACGGCACGCAGATCAATCAAACACGTGGGAATCTTCACTTATCATGTGGTGGGGGAGATGAGACGAGTCCTCACTGTGAGATGATATGTATACGCTCTGTGTTCGTTGTTCAGGTTATCAGGTACTCCATCTTAGGACTTGGAACAGACGAGGACGCGCTCACCAGGGCGATCGTGTCCAGGGCCGACATCGACACGAAAAAGATCAAGCAAGAGTACAGGGTAAGATTCAAGACGACGGTGACGGACGATGTCGTCGGTGATACCTCGGGGTATTACATGGATATCTTGCTGGCCTTGGTAGGGAAGGAGTGAAGATTGAAATATTTTTTTCATTTCTACTGCGAGACAAGATATTGGTGCTTGCATCAAATAAACGTCTAATAGACAGCTGATCATGTTGTTTGTTTGGGAACATCGTGTCCACAAATCATAAAAGCGTAACTTTATTAGATGTGGAAACACCAAAAATAATTCTCTTCCTTCCATCTTATGCTCTTCTGAAATTTTCGCGTCAACATCGATCTTACGTTGGCATAAGATACAGCTCCTCTTATGCTTGTAAGATGGATTATCAGAATGATATGAACCAATGCAACAGTCTATGATCTAGCATTAGCTTAACATACATTCTTCGATCCGACAGTTGAAATGTCGTATTTACTAATAGTGCGATTAAGGTTGGTCCAACATGGAAACAGGACAGGACAAGGATAAGTGCGCACATGCATGGTCGCAAGAGTGCCAAGGTAAGATTACGCAACTTCACATCAAGTTCTTGCTCATCTAATCATCTTATTCACCGCATACCGGAGCCTCATTTCTTCCTGGACGATGAAGCAGCAGCTATGATTCCACCAGCAACAAGCCCCACAAGTCCAAAGGCGCCGGTCACAATGGCCATGCCAATCATACCATCTGCATTTAAACATCAGTCAGTCATGTTAATTCTTCCGAAGGAACCACGTGGTACAGATCACAAGTGGTATGTCAAATAATTGGAGGACGGCCCAACATTTAATTTCGTGGCATGTGAGAAAACAGTTTCGTATAACTCTTAACGTGTCATTTGTCGATCCTTCTCAACTTTACTGGGCACCCACTGCAGGAATGGGTTTCGGGGGATCCTATTCTTGCAGTATACTAGAAGAGCATTTGGTACTAAAGAACATTTGCCTTGATTAGTGTATTTGACATGTGTCCGTAAAGAGAGACCTGAAGGACTGCAATATCACGAAAGAAACAGCAATGGACAGGGGTGCCTTGATTAGATTTCGAGATCTTATGGATTTCAACTCTAGCCTACCCCAATATGTTTGGGACTGAAAGGCTTTGTTGTTGCAGTAGTGTATTTGACATGTACAGTAAATAGTACTCCCTCCATTCCCAAACATTTGTCTTTCTAGACATTTCAAATGGACTACACATATAGTCTGAGATGGGACACTGCATGTCCAATGACATGTCCTATACCTCTTTTGGTTTTCTCTTCAAGGAGCCTTTCCAAAGTAAGAGCTTGCCTCCAGTCAGGTTGAACCTGGAGAAAACGTGATAGTGCAAATTGGTTAGCAATTTAGCCTCAAATTCAGGAGCATGCCATATAAAGGACACAAAGTGGAGCTATAGACTAAACATGACGAGTCAAACTATCATTACCAAAACTTTAATAAAGAAAGAAAATTACATTACATTCAGCCAATTCGGTAGCAGTTTATACAAAATGAAGTAATTCCAGATAGTAATTGTCTAATGGCATGTTTTCCAGTGTAATTCCTTCATTTTTCAGAAAATTAGTAAACATGATCATAAGTTCATAACCCATATATGAGTCCTAATTTGAGCTTTCTAATAAGGAAATAAAAACACAATGTTAAGATAACATTTAAACTCTCTCAATTGCCTTGATTAATACCCCGGAAACTTTCCAAATTAAGTAAAACCAAGTGCTGTCCATAATGGTAATGATGGTAGCGAGAAATGAAATGATATGTTGAGTAATCAAACCTCTAAGCATCTTTCCAGAAGCTCACGGCTTCTTGTGTAATCCCCATTTCTGTAGTGTCCAACGGCCAACAAATAGAGCTTCTCCCTTGTTTGTAGCGGACTGTTAGACTTGCCGAAAGAAGCTGAGAAATGCCAACACAAATCATGAGTTCTGCCCCAGGGAAAGCAGAAAGTTCAGATAGGAAAAGTACAAGTGTTAAGTGAGAAACAAAATGCTACAATAAGCAGGATTGGCTTGATTCAAATGAATGTGCAAGACTGGAAGCCTAGCATGAGCACAGCCTACATCTAAGTAGGATGCTTTTTTTTAAGCAATGGAAATCACATATTAGTGACACTACAGCTGGGTCTTCCAGATGATGGGGCTGTTAGAAGACTGACAGGACCACTGAAATGGATATCCACATGGCAGGACCCTTTATATCTTTTCAACAACACAAATAAGATTTATGCATTACTGCTTTAAGAAGAGAGAAAAACAGCACAATCAAATACAGTAGATGATGCTCTGATCTATCCATAAAAGAGAAGATCAAAACTCAAAATTCAAGACATCTACAGCATTCCAACATGCCATGACAGTCATGTGGGTGTGGCCCTCCAACTTAACAAATGTTCTCAGGTGATAGATTCTAAGAAAAGGCACTCGACCGTTGAAAATTGAAGAATCAGAATATATCAATATGAAAGAAAATCAAAATGAACATGTGGAACAAACACACAAATAACTCAAGTACTACATGACTCCATTTAGTTCACCAAGGAATATGCATTATTTCAAGGAATATTTCAGAAGATGCGATGAACACTCATATCTTGGAAGTAGTAAAGTACTACTCAAGTCAGTCAATTCCTATTATCATTAACAAATTCGGAATAATAAAACTATTAAGTATACATAATGGATGCATCACCTTCAAGCATTCCAATGCCACGGTTGACATCCTCGGGCTGCCTAGAGTGAACAAGCGCCCATGACAGCCTCATGAGGCTGTCGTTCTTCTGTTCTTCATTTGCAGCCTCAGCAACCTCTGTCTCACAACCCTGAGACAAAAGCACGTACAATAGTAGATTAGACAAACACAAATGAGTGCATGATCAAGCACAATCCAATTGGATATGGAAGCATACAAAAAAAAAAGGTTCATCTACGCTTCACATATATAGTGGCACGAGGGTGGAAAGGATTCAACAGAAGACAAAGATCTTGTCTCAGAATCCATTGATCAGTTAAGTAACATCAAATGCGTACAGTCAACGAAATACTCCCTCCTGACAGTGTCAAAAAACGTCTTATATTATGTTACAGAGGGAGTAACAAAGACTCGTCTCACGAAAGCACAGCATGAACTGGGGATTCGGCAAACCCCCAAATCCACATGGTGACACCCAAATTCCCCTGCAATCCGCTGAGAATCAAGGAGTGGCATGGTGGCACTGGCACGGGTTGTCCAAATGCTTCTGATTGGATAAACTCAGTCACATCCCGGAAATTCGCCCGCAAACGCAAGGCAATTAGACATCAAGCCAGGCTCAATCAGTCAGATAATGGTTGCCCTAGGTTGCGCATGGGAATTGAGTAATCAAGTACAGTAAAAAAAATCACAAAACGTCTGGTTGCTGAACATGAATGATCCCTTAACGCCACCGAAAATAGCTTGACAGACAGCGATTTAGATGAACGAAGAGTAAAGCATGCAGCAGTATCGATTCCGCCCAAACACAAAATCCCCATGATGGGACGCAATTCCCCCTGGCGCTAGAACCTACAAGCCGACAGGGACTGTCACTCAAAACGCGGCGAATTCGTGAATCCCCGCACGCTCCAGCGGAAATTGGGATCCCCAAACAAACGGGCAGCAACAGAGCTAGCGGAGTAAGAGAAGGTCCGGGCCAGAGCCGTCCGTGGGGATTTCTCGAGGAAGGGGCGGGGGGTAGGGGGTGCTTACGGCGATGATGTCGCGGTCGCAGACGGGGAGGGTGTCGCTCCCGCGGAAGATCGAGCTGACCGACTGGAAGAACTGGCCGACGTGCCCGTCCATGTTCTTCCCTTCTCCCCTTTCCGCCGCCTTTTTTGGGTGTTTTTCCGGGGCCGTTTGATCCTTGGTCGGGCGAGCCGTGTTTTATAGGAGGTTTTTGCTTGAGGTAATAGCACCAGGAGTCCCTGAACTTGTCATGGATGTGATGTTTTGGTCCCAAACTTGCAAAATGCAACTATTGAGTCACACAACTTGCAGCCAATGTGCAAGTTTGGTCCCAGCCAATCAGAGCTCGACAAGTGGATCCTAGTCAGCACAGCCGTCAGCCCCAGCGCCTTTTGCATTTACCCCCTGGACTTTGCACTAATCAACCCGCACTACAGCTGCCTGGGATATTCTGCTGCCCCAGCGCCTTTCTCTGCTCTCGACCATCTCCTGCTCCCCAGGTAGTCGCCACCGTCCAGCTAGTCGCCGCCGTCCAGCTCGCCACCGCCGTCCGTCTAGCTCGCCGCCATGGTGTCTTGGAGTGAAGGATCCAGCTCTTCGTCCGAAGGGTACTCTATCACAAGTGAGGTTAGCTCCAGATCCAGTATAAACATACTCACTTGCATTTAGGGTTAGCAATGGGGAATTTTTGCTGACAACAATTGTTTATAGGCTCCTGCTCCTGCCGTCATTTTCTGCTCTGAGTGGAGAGGCCTGGCTCCAGATCTTGCAGCTAGATGTGAACATCAGTGTGTCTGTGAGAAGTTAGTTTCCTTTGAATCAGTTGACAGTGGAAGGAGGTATCTTGCTTGTGCACAAAAGGTTAGCAGATCTCTAATTAAGGCCATCAAATCTTGTAGTGTGGCATTTAACTGTGGATTAGTGCATCAATATAGTTTATTGAGCAAAATCAGTTCACTGAAGAAAACAGTATTTAGTCAACTGAAGTTTTGGTTATGCTAAGAATTATGATAGTGTTGTATTAGTAGATCAATAGTGGTACAAGCTTTGCCATTTATCTAAAAATGTTTTCTTTCTTATTTTGTAGGAAATACCTAAATGCAACTTTGTGCAGTGGATTGATCCTGAATGGCCTGCCACTCTGAAGATGAGTTTAGCCAGGGTTTGGGGCATGTATGAAGATGGGAACAAGCTAAGGCTCAGGGAAAATGTAGTTAATGCCGAAGAGAATTTTAGGGTTGTGAAAGAGAAGGAACAGATGGAAAAGGATCTGAGGTTTTTTAAACTAGATTTTGCTAAGATGGTGGCTGACAAGGAGCAGGCAATTACTGAATTGGGCAATGCAAGACTTGTTGTTTCTGACCTGAAGCAAGAGCTTGAGAAGAA